TCGGTTTATCTGTAAGTCAATTCCCAGAAACTTTAAAACTAACCCATAAAAATAGAATTAGCCAAAACACTCGGATTGGTACTATATTTACAATAAACAACACTAGTACACTTCCCCATCCTAACTAAAGAACCAGGGAACAGCTTGGTGGTGGTCTCGTTTGAACCTCCCAACTGACCTTCCTTTGTTCTCTCCTTCAATGGCAAGAGGACGCCCTGCATCTCCCAAACCCACCCCGATCACATCTTCTGCTCCCTCATCGTCATGGCCCACTGTTCCCCAAACCATCGTTATCCCCAGGGTTGGCCCGGTGGATCCTGCGTCAGCCAAGTCGGTGCTGTTGAAAAAAACCACCTCTTCCAAGAGATGGGCTCCCACGTCCGACGATGACGAGATGGAAGGCAAATGGGTCATCGACCCTGATGCCCCGTTTGAAGAATTCATCGCAAACCGTCCACCCGGCTACCATTACTATGAGTACTACGATGCCAAACTCACTGAAGTGCATGGCGAACCCCTACCCCCACCGACATATTGTCGATCGGTGGCCCTTCCTACCCGCTTCTACAACATCGACCATGTCGATAGAATCGAATTCCCAGACGCGGCTGCGCTCGTCCGCAACAAAGAACCTAAGTGGTTCGAGTTGGTTCGCAACTACATACACACCGAAGAGGGTGTGAGGTTCTATGCTACAATGTACCATCTTGCCTGGTCATTCAAGATGGGCAAGCCCTCGCAAGAGGACGTCGACACCTGTACCGACTGGTACAGGGTGGCTACAAACAACCGCGCCTCACGAATGCGTATGTCACGCAACGACATTGAGATGGAGGCGAAAAGACTTCCCGACCAGTACCCCCTGGCTCGTATTGCACGGATGTACATCCTCGCGTGTCGATGGATAAAACCAATGACTGACGACGCTCGTGAGCGTTGTAAAATTCAACGCCAGGAACGAGCACTTATGTACTCGAACCCTCCCCCAACGTCGTACTCAAACCCGCCTATGATGTACGCGAGCCCACACCCTGTGGCGTATTCAAACACCCCACCTCCACCACAATACCCCCCTCCGACGTATGCACACTCGTTGGTGTACGAATCCGCCCACGCACCACCAGTGCGAGGGCGTGCCCCCTCTTCTCATGGACATGGCCATCCCGCGCACCATGTCCATTACTCGCACTGTCGTCAAGACGAGGATTCGTCCATGAACGACGCTGACGTCGAGACTCGTCACTACGACGACAACTATCTGAGTGACGATGTCGCTGTCGATGCGGCTAGGTCCACAACGACTCGTAGGACTACATCGAATCGCCCATCCGGCTCTGGCCCATCTGGGTCAGCGCCACATAAACGAATGAGGAACTGACCCCCTCTCATCCATACCTTCGTCAACGACAATGCCGTCGTTGATTACTCACTTTCGTCAACAACAAGGCCGTCGTTGATTAATAATTTCTTACCTTCGTCAACGACAATGCTGTCGTTGATTATCTATTCTGTACCGTTCGTCCTTCGTCAACGCAATCGTCGTTGATTATTCATTTTCTTCGTCGATGACAACTCTGCCGTCAACGACCTACACTGTCAACATCGTCACAGTGGACGATGGTAATTAATAAACTCACAACGACGAGAAAGTCGTTCCATCGTCGACAACACTGTCATCGAGATCTGGGTGCATATGTTCCAGGAGAAACTCTAAGTGGGCTTCACCTACAAAATACTATTATAGCCTCCTGCAATGAGTGTGCCCCTGTTTGCATACATCCTTCGTATGTAGAACGTTAAAAAAATTTTATTTCTTTTAAATGCTTGCTTTCCCTTTGTGTATATATGCTAGTACCCTGTCTGCAATCTAGTATCGCAAGGGAGGAGGATGTGAGGCCCTGGCCCATGTCTATATTCCGCCCACAACATCAGTTGATGTTGTGTTGTGTAATAATTATGTCGCGATGCTAATTTAGCGTCGCGGAAGCTTCTCTATTTATTTGTGCCGAGAATGTATAAGATTGTATATAAACCCTCGGGGTAGCTGTAAAAGGCAGATTAGCCTTTACTTCTACCCTGTCAATATACAGCCAAATCAAGCATATACTTAGATGGACTACTGAGGCCTGAGGCAAACGGGGGAACGGAACGTTACCGTCCCCAAACTAGTAAGATAACCTTTCAATGGGGGAGGAGGAGTGGAGGTGGCATGGGAGGTAAGAGGAGGTGTGGTGCCAGGACCAAAGGTGAATATCGGAACGGACAGCGGTAGGGTAGGACTCTGGAGGTGGTGAAGGAGGAGGTCCGGGAGTCGGGTCGGGATCGGGTATGCACGGATATGACATAAGGGATTAACCTTACTTCACTATAATTCCCATTATAGTGATGCTGTTATTTCTTTATTTATTTGTGCCGAGATATGTAATTTACATATATATACCTTGGAGTAGTTGTAAAGTGTCAGGGGCATGGGAAATGTTACCATGGTTCACTGTCGGTGACTGTTAAGGTCTGCTGTCTCGGCATAACAGCCTGTTATGGGTGGGGTTGACAATCGCAGCAAAGCAGGGTTTTGGCTTCAACAACTCATCCATGAGCATTGCACCTTGTACTTGATGCAGCCCCGATATTTCAGGGTACTGTCATATCCATACAATCCTGACCTCCACTCCGGGCTCCCGGAACTCCGAAACTGACTCCGGAGCCCTACTTCCCTTCTGTCACCTTCTCCTTGCCGACTCCCAAGAGGTTATCCCACCTCCGGCACCGACAGTGAACCATGGTAACGTTTCCCATGCCCCTGACACTTTACAACTACTCCGAGGTATATATATGTAAATTACATATCTCGGCACAAATAAATAAAGAAATAGCAGCATCACTATAATGGGAATTATAGCAATGCAACATAATATAAATATCACTATAATCGGAATTATAGTGAAGTAAGGTTAATCCCTTACAAAAGTGCACATTGTCCATTCCCTATCCATCCCTTACAGCAGGGGAGAGTCAGGGGGAATGGAAGGTGAGGTTGTATTCAAAGGTGGGGATCGGAACAGACAGGAATAGGGGTAAGACTCCGGAGGTGGTGGAAAGGGTCTGGGAGTCAAATCGGGATTGGGTATGTACAGATATGACACCAAAGACTTGCATCCAAAAAAGTATTTTGCATTTTTCTCAATAACTTGCTTGCCAATTTAGTCTCAAATTATATATTCTGGAAGCTATTTGAAGGGGCTATCCAACTATGCAAAGTGTGTTGAGACCGTGAGAAACAGTGCTGACACCCCTTCAGACAGTGGCCAGCATTGTGCACAGACATTGAGGTGGACAGCCACACTAACCCAAAGACTCGTGTCCAAAAAAGTATTTTGCATTTTTCTCGATAATTTATTGGTCAATTCAGTCTCAAAATATATATTCTGGAAGCTATTTAAAGGGGCTATTCAACTACGTAAAGTGTGTTCAGACCATGGGAAACAGTCTTGACATCCCTCTAGACAGTGGTCAGCATGTGCACAGACCATGGGATGGACAAGTATGGCATTCTAGGACAATTTGCAACCATAAAGTACACAAAGTATGTAAAGTATGTAAAGTATGCAAAGTATGTAAAGTATGTAAAGTATGTAAAGTATGTAAAGTATGAGTATGTAAAGCAGTGTTGGCATTGACACGATCAGACCACCAATCAGACCATTTTTGGTCTGATTGTGCTTCCGACAAGGGTCCATTGTCTCAAGGTCCGAAATACGGAAGTAGCCGATTTCCAACCAGACGAGGGATAACCCGAGCCTCATGTGATCACCTTGCGGCTATTTCCGCGAAACTCGTTGCCGACACTGCCGACATTGAACTAGCGAGGTCCCGGCTTTAGCCGACAGACAACTGATGGGACAATTCGGACCATGGGAAAGACGTTGTCTACTGAATCAGACCTTCGGACTTCGGACCATGCGACCATTTGGGACCATGTCTGCCCAACACTGATGTAAAGTATGTAAAGTATGCAAAGTATGCAAAGTATGCAAAGTATACAATAGCGAAGCATGCAAATGCACAAAGTGGAAATGTGTGAAGTATGAATTGACCCAAAAAGATCCATCAGTATTTTTTATCGGTAACTCATTCCATATTCTGTCCTGCGCGGCGCCTATCAGTATTGAAAACAGGAGTATCTAGCAATAAATCGTTCCGGTGGCATGCCACAGGGATTTCCTTTGTCCGTCTCCGAAGACACATGGGTGGTATTTGCGGTTGCCCCGATTTGTTCGTTGCAATTCGCGATCAGTACATCTTCGAGATGCGCCACTCCTAAACCTTCTATCGACTTTCGGGAGGTGTCCGGTTGTAGAAGGCCTGAGTTTCCCCCGCATCGATTCAGGGCCAGATGTTTTCATAAGTTTAACTAACGCCGGGCACACTGGCTGCCTCATTCTTTTGGGACAAGAATCAAAATGGAACTGGCCTCGATTCAGTTCAGTTATTTCCCTGGTCAGCTTGCAAGTTTCAGTGAGGACTTCAAATTATGCTTGTCAAACACTTTCACCAGCCACCCCTTGAATCGGTTCGAAGCCTCTGGATGAATAGGTCGAAGCTCTGCTCATCATTCCGATGCGTAATCTAGCGGACATGCAGCCGTTATGCAAAAGCCGATTCGCCATTGCCTTAGATGGTCTCGATGAATGTGGAAATTAGGCAGCACTCGAAACCCTAATGAAGCTTGCGCTAATGCTTGAAGCTTTACCTCCTGCATTTGCTGTGTTAGTCAGCTCTCGTCCCCAGCCTTCGGCTTAGACTGAAGCTCAAAATCGAGGTGTTGTCATTCCATGGGGGGATATTGATAATGTTTCGAAGATGAGACTTTCCACACAATCCGTTGCGTGGTGGAGGAAGGACTGCAGGACCGTGTCAAGGAGTCTCAGTGGAAGCCATCAAACGGGCTTTCACCTTAGCTTGCCGTAGACTGCCTGTTATAGCCTCGATTCGCATACGTGATGTCTGCGTTCAGCCTCAAATACGGTTCTACTCTTCAAACGGAGTTCGAGTACTTCTACAATCTCATGGACACACTTACCGATCTCAACTCGGAGTACTTGCGAATACTACGGCGAACCTATGTTCCCGATCCATCGAGTGTTCGTCCACGTGTAATCGAAAATTATCGTCGTGTAATGGGTCGGTCATTGCGGCACGCCGACCATTGTTTGTACTCCATCTCGCAGATTTTAGGACTTACAAAGGATGAGATCTATGCGATTCTGAAACCCACAGTTCTCTTGTCGATCTGCCCCTGGAGGACACAGGGTACCCCGAATTCTACCATGCAACAATAAAAGAATTTATTACTGGTCATCCGATGGATGATGAAATTGACCAAATGTTCTTTATCAATGATATTTCCTTGGACCCATTCGGCATCTTTCCCCTCATGATGTTCCCGTTTCGCCGAGCTTGCCTCACGTATACTACCACGCCGCCTCACTGGCACATGCTTGGACTCTCTCCTGGAAGATCATACATCATTTCTTACGATAAGAAGCGTGCTTTCATTTGGTCAACGGGGTCGCGTGAGTTGGTTGCTCATTATCGCATCACCCCACCGCATTCCAGATCTCGACTCCTACGACGGAACTCCCCGCGCGTATCTTCTCACCGGTCCTATCCACTCTTCGCGCCTCGCGCTGACCGAGGAAGCTGCCCCCTTGCAGGGTTCCCGGGTGGGGCGTGACTTGGATCAATCGTGGTTCGAGTGGTAGAATGGAGTTCCTGCTCCCCGAGGAATCTCCGAACATTCTCACCACACATAACATTAACTTCAGAGCCTGGTACGGAAATCGGGTGCTGGAAAATGATGAGAAGCTCTATCTTCCTAAGGTTAGCAGGGACGGAACTCGATTTCTGGTCCAAGAAAGCCCTGATCCTCGTTGATATCGGCTAAATCGTTTAGCGTGCCTTTACAAGTTTATGTCTCTACTTGTCGCCTGCGGTTTCCCAATATAATCGTGTGGAGAGCTGCAACCCACTGCACAGCTCTGGCATGCAGATCGTGCGTTTGGAAGTTGGGATAATCAACGTTTGCGCCATACACACATCTACGTATATTAGCTGCCAGTACGGTCGAGCACCCATCATTGTTATTGGAAAAGGGGTTCGAGTCCTCAGCGTTACAGGTCTACCTGCACCCATGACGTGTTGAAACATTCACATGCACCCGCTCAAAGCACTCCTCAATCCGGACCTGCTCCCGTTTAGCCGGGTGGCACCTTTCCCATTCTGGCCACTCCTTTGCGCCCCCCCTGTTGCGTTGGGGATTGTGCCCCGACGCTTTGCCTCCCAACTTTGTCCTTACTCCACTCAACCATCCCTTTGTCTTGTCATCTATAAATGAACGACGTTACGCACTACGGACATCATCTAACAAATAGGCTTGAGGGCGGGAAGTATCCAAAGCTTGTGACGTGCGCAGCCTATTCGAGGAAACTCTCCGATGCTAAATCACTTCTAGAACCTATATTCAATAGAGAATGATAGCAATGGCTGGTCGCGAATCCTTTTTCTTTACTTCCCTTAATTGTTCTGGATATTTGGCCTGTCACGCTCGTGAGACTCGCAAGGCGGAATAAATGCATGAAAATAAAACTAAGGTCGATTTAAGCATACTCGTCCGCTTTCGACAGGCGGCATAGGAGGCACGCAAAGAACAGAAGGTGCATGCGATCCCTCCACAGGTGCGTGTCAGTCGAGGTAGACGCGTGTGAGTCAAAGCAGAGCACGCACAGTTGGACAGAAGCGCGGATCTATAGCCTTGTGAAATACTATTAAACGTCAAAATAAGTTCATTCGATGGGCATACATTCTCTCATTTGAAACAATTGTGGTCGTGGTGTTAACGTAATTGCACAGGCGTCATTAACGAATGCGTGGCGTAGAGATAGGAAAGAGATAGCTGGCAGTGCGAGACCCGGGTGAGGTAGAAAATTCAATCCACGGGGAAATTGGTATAGGTACATGAGGGGGGAGGACGACCACAGTGAAACGTGAACAACAACGAATGAGAGGTTTGAATAAAACAAATGGTGAAAGGGGGTCGAGTCACATTAGCAACTCTTCCTACACTCGCAAAAGCAACATCTCTCGTAACAATAGCACCCCCACCCTATCCGATCCGGGAGGTCAGCGTAGAGCGTCGAGTGTTGGTCATATAGGGTGGCAGGGAGTTGGTGTCGATAAGGAATGGTCATTGGTGGCTGGCTCCGATAAGGTTGAACAGCCGTGGTCGTTGCTGTTGGTGCGTTCAACGTGCCACCCGCCGGAAGAACGGTAGGGGATGAGGTAGTGCCAGAATGATATTGTTGCTGGTACGGAACGAAGGCACCCCCTGCTCCGGCAGTAGGCCATAGGTAGACGCTTCGACCATTATATGCGTAAGTTGGATAGATTCCATTCAGGCTCCGAGGGACGTACGATGATATTCCGGGATTGTAGACTGGTGAAGGAGGGACGATGGGGACTTGCCCACCGAAGGTGGGTGCCGTAGGGGGGCCCATGAGGGTAGGTGCGGTTATGTATAAAAGGCTTATAGGAGCTGTGATAGGTCCGTTGGTTCAGCTTAAAACGCTAGATCGAGAATCGATTAATCAGTGGTTTCGTTCATGGTTCTCTTCATACCTGTTGGGCAGCCGATGACGTTGCAATTAATGTGTCCGGGAGGTTAGATGAGGACAAGGATGCACACAGGAGTGCCAACTTGGAAAAGTCAACTTCGGTGTGGGTGGCGTGAGACGCGATGCAGAGGGCTGGTGTTTGAGGCAAGATGTGATTTCGATTAGGATGATGTTAACATTCCAACAATAACTTTAAGGGATGGGCCCTGATCACGGTACGGCGGTGAGTCCCCCAAGGGGCTCGGGATGAGCGGGAGGCAGGGAGGATCAGTACCCCTTGATGAGCAAGGGGCTAAAGCGTCGCATTAGCATTGGGGGGGATCCTGGCAGAGTCCCCCAGCACTTCAAGTCGGTCTGCGTCCATAGTTGTCTGGAAATGAAGGGTCAAGAGTGCAGGGGCGTGTCTGAAGCTTATGGGTTCCCACGCGAATTTCTTTCTATATCAAGAAAGGGTTATAGGGGAGTCGCGAATGCTTACCTTGTTCAACTTCAGGTTGCTCGTGGGGGCCTCAAGGGCGGAATAAGCATACGGGAATGGGGCGGGGGTAGGTTCGATTTGAGTCTATGGACTCGCTCGCCTTTAAATCGTAGTCTAAATGGCAACTCTCCTGCTGCAGTTCGCAAATGCTGATGGCTTAAGTAATTACAGGGGCGGGCGTTAGAGCCTGCCATTATATATTATGTTCAGGTCTTCTAAGCTACCGACCGGCCCTTGTCCACCTTGAATAGTGAACCGATTAAAGATGTCAGGTACCCAGGCTAACGCGATTGTGTACGGTGCTGCCACCTCTTGGAAAGTCAAATCAGACGGGGCCAGTATTGCAGGCCAAAGAGGGTTTGCTCGTGGTTCAACCGCTACTCAGTATTCATTCTAGTATTGGCCGATGTTCGAGGTGAGACAGATTTTTCCTTAAATCATACTGTATTCAAGAATCGTCTCGGAATACAACCGAGCCTTGCCGGCCACGGTAAACAGTATGTGCTTGGTTCATCCCCCTCACGTGGCTTACATTCGGACTTCGATATTCTGCTGCGTAGAAAGCGATTGGACTCATGTTGGCCCCCTGACAATTGCAAAACTTGGACAGAGAGCCGCATCGGAATCGATTAGGGTACGGCGAGCCCAGACACTGTTTCTATGACTAGGAGACTCTAGTTCCAATGAGTGATGTTTTCTAGATGCTGCATCAAGAAAACATCAGCCATTGGGACTAGAATTTCGCTGGGCTCAAGCACAGTAAGGTTATTTGTGGGGTTTCGACGCGTTTGTTTGTTTATCTCTATTTTCACCGAGACCACCGCTTTTTCGGCGCCTCCACTGGATTTCGCGTCTCTCCCTGACATATTTCCTCGAAACCCATCAAAGAAGTCGTGTACCATGGAGGAGGGTTCAGGCGCAACCATTGACCTGGACTGGAACACTCTGTCTCCTGATCTAGCTGAGCGTGTCGTAGCTGCTATGAATGTGCGTCTTGCCTCCATGACCAACCGTCCATCGTACATTGGCCCAATACTGGTTTCGTCTTTGGATTTTGGCACTAATCCACCGGAAGTCGAACTCGTCGATGTGAGAGATATATGTCCCGATTTCCTTGAGGACGATGAAGATGAGGAAGTCAATGAAGAGACTCCTCTGAACACTAATAATTTCAGAGAAATGGAGGATGACTTTGAGTGGGTATCCAGGAGGGAAGGAGCCAGCGCCCGGTATGCGCAGGCACACTCCGATGCAGGAGGATATCCTACACCATATAGTTTCCTGCCTCCGCACATCCGCCCTGGGTCATCGTCATCTGCAGAATTTCTGCTTCGGCCTCCGGGAATGCCGAACACTTGGGAGCGTCGACGTCCCCCGATGGGAATTTGGAGTAGTTACATGAGCATGCCGAACTTGGCCACCACCTCGGGAATGACGTTCCCTGAGACTCAACATGCATCAGATGACTCCAGGGGAAAGTCTCGTAATGAACTAAATGATGAGGGCGCCGAGATAAACTCGATGCTCTCTTTCCCGAACTCTGACTCACCGGAACCTCCCTTGGCAACCACTCAAGATACACCCATCAAAAAACCTCCCCCGCCTGATCCGTCGGCTCAGCCTAGCGCTCAACTGCACTTTCGGATCATGTTCGAATCAAATCTACGCCTCACTCTCTCCACATCCTTGCAAATAAATTATCCATCCCCATTGTTTATGGCTCTTCCGGTTAAGTTGTCCATCATTGGACTTATTTTCCAGGGAGAAGTTGTCGTTGCTTGTGAGGGTGACCGGAAGCGGATCCACCTTTGCATCTTGGATGATCAGGATCCTTTTGGACCCGCCGCGATCCGGAATTCATCTTCAAGTCAGGAAGTGAACAGCACTCCTGATGGTCAAGAGAACCCATCCCTATCCATCCCCGATATCGCAGCACCTCTTCGTCCACGGCCTGAGTCACCAACAGCGCCGATTGGCGTGCGTTTGTTGCCCTCCATATTCATTGAGTCTGAGATTGGCCAGCAGGATAAGCATGTGCTTAAAAATGTTAATCGGGTGGAGAGATTTGTGCAGGATGTCATTCGAAAAACGGTTGAAGAAGAATTGGTTTTTCCGAATTTTATGACGATTGTGTTGGATGGTGGGCACTAGGATGAATGTTTCCAATCGATTTATCGTTGAATGTGTTGGGGGATGATGCTCTAGCATGGGGATGCTGAGGTAAGTTGTGCTGAACAGCGCTGCCTCACATGCTGACTCCCTTTTGGATACATGGTAGTTTATATGACCTACGACCGGGAGCTTCGACCAACAGCGATGGGGGCTATGATCCGCGGTGAAGCGCTAGAATCCTTCTGCTGGCGGCGTCCCCATTATGCAAGTACAACGGCTGATATGACAAATATAACAAATCAATTCGAACAACTCCGCTAAGATACAGCTAAGGCGAGCTGGACAGTCAAACCTCGGTGACTGATCACAAGAACAGGAGGGAAACAGGTTATTCATAATATTCGAGGACGGGACTTCCTGAGTCATGATGTCCCTCACGTGACCAGCCTAAATAGGTGATGTCGGATCAACGACCGAATTCATTTGTTCATTTGCTCACTCTGAGCTGTGTCTGCGCAATATTCAACAACGGCATCATCCAACGGCACTCATTACACCTCTCGGATCTCGTATATAAAGACCCCAGGAGCATCTACGTCCCGCTTTTGGTTTCGAGCCCTCTTCCTTCTCCATTCCTCCTTTGACTCTCTGCATTTAACCGACTCATCATACACATAATTACATAGATTTAGACCGGTGGCCTGCTCAAGATGGTCAAATTCAGGAGTGCGTGTCGGACTCGAGTTTGTGGCGTGGTTTCCTGTCCTGGTACTCAACCTCGTCAACCTTGTTGGTCTCGATCGTCTAGAACATATCATATTCAAGCGATCGTTCGAACTGATTTTCCTTACTTTGGCGCCGTATCAAACGCTAAATCTTGTTCTCGGGCCGTTACTATTCCACAGCAATCACCATTTGTCGAAAGAAATCAAGGACGAGCCGTCAGAAAGGGATTCGTTGCTTCCTCCCCAAAGCGGTGATGCTACACGGCGTCACGTCCTTCCGACGAAGTACCAGAACTTGACGATCCGCTCCAAACCTCAAATATCTTCGGAACCTGGCCAACCACCTTCTCATGTTCCGTCAGAATCGCCAGAGACTGACGAGTCGACGAGACGGATTTCTGTTGGAGAGTTTGTCCGAAGCTTTTGTCCAACACTCTTTAAGCGCTGGGAGCCCACATGGTGGTTAAATAGGTATGAAACAGGATCTACCCTTGTACCTTGGCGTCAGAGCCTTTATCTATGTCCATATTAGCGGCCATTTGCAAACCTTTTGGAGCTCCGCGGGCGACTTTTCAGACGTCGATGTCCTCAAGTTCGATCGGTGTGTGCACTGCATAGTTATTGGCCGGCGTCTTAATGTACTCAATAGCACGTTATGTTCTTGATGGGTGGATACAGCACGCTACTTGAACTACCGGATGGAGGTGTCATGTTTGTATCATAATTCTCGTCGTGACACAACTGGGATTGACTTCATTTTCTGGACCAGTGGCGTCGACTTTTCCCATCCGGAAGGAAAGGAAGATCCCACAACTCCTATCGTTGTAGTGTTACCTGGTCTCACTGGAGGTGTGTCAATTTCCTTTCGATTCTGTCATTTTCACATGAGAACAGTCAATGCTGTATCGTTATCCCCATCTTTAACTTTCCCTAAATATGGTCAGGTTCGCAAGCTTCTTATGTGAGGAACCTACTCGCTATTGTGACGGGTCGCCAATCAGAAGGTGGGTTGGGCTATCGGGGTGTAGTGGTTAACTCTCGGGGATGTGAGTGTCGCGCCGCTCTTCCATACGGAGTTTTATTTTTTCTGCGTTAACGGCGATTTCCTCATTCTTTTAATAGGCGGAAACGTCCCATTACGCACACCTCAAATGTCGGCAGGCTCACCGGATGATCTCTGTTCCAGTTTATTATATATTGCTTCCATTTATCCCAACGCACCAATCTATGCGGTTGGTTTCTCACTTGGAGCCACCGTTCTGGCTAAGTACCTCGGGCAAGAAGGGGAGCGTTCTCGAATAAGAGCAGGAATCGTTATTGCTTGCGTAAGTGTCACACAGCCGGCCCATATGACCATGCTCATGATTGGTCCGTAACCCATTATCATGTACCGCAGCCATGGGATTTGCAGAAGAATAGTAATATGTAAGCAACATCGGCATTCACAGCTGGTGCTCTCGTAATTAGCGTTGCTTTACGTAGATTGGAATCCCGATTTTTCTACCGCCGGGTATATTCCCGAGCCCTCGCGAAATCTTACCTTGCCCTTCTCGACCGTTCTATTGGTATCAATCCTCCTTCCTTTGTTGTTCCCGATTCCCACTACCTAAATCCGCACCTTTCAATCATTCGCACCATCAAGCAGCCCACTTTCACCCAAGTTAACACCCACCTGACATCTATCATTGGCGGTGCTCCCCCCGTCTTTCCGCATGCAAGAGTGGAAGACTTTTACAAGTGGGCAAGTTGTGCGGAGGATGTGCTGAATGTCCGCGTGCCGTTGCTATGCGTCAACGCTGATGATGACCCTATTGTGAAAGAACTTCCCGATAATGAAGTGAAACAGAATGATGCTGGATGGGTCACACTAGTCGTTACGAAGGGCGGTGGCCACTTGGGATGGTTCGAGAAGGACGCAAAGAGGAGGTGGATCACAAAGCCGGTTGTTGAATGGTTGAAGGCTATTAACGAGGAAGTGGTTTGGGAGGACGCCCCGAGTGCTTTGGAGGTGTCGTTGGAGAAGGTGATCTCGAGTACCAGTGCTTCGTCGAGTGATGGTGATCGTACGGCAATCGAGGCTGGGTTGACTGCCAGTCCCGGCTCAAGCGGGATGTCAACTCCGTTGAGCCCTAGTCCCACGCTGAATGGAGTTTCTACGCCAGCTGTACCTTCGAGCGGAGAGGAGAGGGGTAGCAAGTTCGTCATGGCATTGCCTGATAACCATCTCATTGGATATAGGGTATTAGCCACAGGGCTTGACCCTGATCACACTACTATCCCCGGTGGGTACGCGGGTTTGTAATTCCATGCCACCATAGTGTTTTCTACCTATCTATCTTACGCATGTATATTTTAAACTTTACGAAATAATGTCTACACACGATTAAACCTTAATTCTCTGGAAAACATGTGTAGCTTTGTGATTTGAATCGTCGCTCTTGTACAGACATCGTGAGGGAATGAATGTGTGAAACAACAGGTGGGGTTGAAAAACGCGGTGAGATAGGGTATCCTAGATAATTTGATCCACAAAAGTGAAAAAGAACTACAGAGAACAACAAACTACAGCGAATGAGAGGTTTTTTGATACACAAAAAAAAACACAGACAAATAAACAACCAGAAGTACATCACTAACGCCCATTCCCACACCCGCAAAAGCAATCTGAGTCGTCATCATCATCGTAATAAGAACGTCCCCATCTTTTCCGATACGAGCTGCGAGGATAGAACCGACCATACCCACGACCATAGAGGGCAGCAGGAAGTTGTTGATAAGGTACGATCATTTGTGGCTGACTCCGATAGGGTTGAACGGCCAAAGTCGTCGGTGTAGATACGCTCATCGTTGGAGCAACGGTAGAAGCCAAGGTGGTCCCAGGGTAATACGGCTGCTGGTACGGAAGGAGGGCGCCCCCTGCTACTCCGGCAGTGGGTATTGGGTAGACCCTTGGTCCATTCTGTGGGTAAGTTGGATAAATTCCGTTCAGACCTTGAGAGACGTACGGCGATATTCCGGGATTGTAGACTGGTGAAGGAGGGACGATCGGGTAGGGTACTTGCCCGCCGAAGGTAGATACTGTTGGAGAGGGGATGAGGAAGGGCGCGGCCATGGCTAAAGGGTTTCTGAGAGTTGTGACTGTTGGTTGAAAACAGTTGAGCGGGGGACGCTAGACCGAGATGGCGTTGTTCGGTTAAGTTGTGGACCCGTTTCAGGTGGGCGGACAGTGACGTGTGTGTCGGGGAAGTTGGACGAATAACACGTGGAAACCGGAGTGCTGCCTGCTTGGAAGAATCGACTCTGTGTGGGTGGCGCAAAATACAGTCGCGATGAGTGGTGTTCGAGTGGAGGCAGGAAGTGAGTCGATTGGGATTATGTGAACATGCCGACGATGACTTTTAAAAGGATAAGGTCTGATCACGGTACGGCGGTGGGTCTCCTCAAGAGGCTTGGGATGGTCACCGCGCGGCAGGGAAGGCGCTAACAGTGAGCAAAGGGGAATATTTTTACCCTAAGCACCGAGGAAGGGGAAAAAGACCGACCAACCCGTATCGGGACTCTAACGCTCAAAGGAGCAGTTATATATGCACCCCGAGGTGACTCGTCTATCTCTCCCGCAAATTTCCTGATGAAGAGACGAGGTGAAGGACCTGCTGATGATCACCAGTACTTCCGCAGTGCTCCGGAAATAGTCGACTCCCGTATTTGGATGTGACGCGCGGCCACGGACGAAAAATCTGGCGCTAAGCCGGACTTCAAGTTGAAGAACCGACTGATGTTACCAAAAGTGCTCCCTTAACGGGGTCAGAAGAAGGAAGTAGGCCATCTGGTTGGTATTGCCAGCTGAGCGGAGCAAGAGCCGGAGAAGAACGTCGCTACAGCAGACATCTCTGGCACGTGTTGGAAAGCTGATTAACTTCACGACGTCAGGGGTGCTACCGCTGCGAAAGCCAGCAATCAAGCACTTCCAGCAGCTGTGAAATGAGTTCATTCGGGGGAAAGGCTCGAAGAGAGAAACGACCCCTTAAGGACAAATCCACAATTCAGGGTAGATCTGAACGAGAATTGAGAGTAGCAGTAGGGTTATAGCTCATTCGGCTGAGGAGCCTCGTGGCAGTCTCGTGGCAGCACGGGAGGGCGTCTAACGGAGGGAACGGAGGCGGTGAATATTAATCACAGTGGGAGTTGTCGATGATCTATCATCATGATTACATATATAGGGGTCAACAAACACACAAGTCTGCTGCTATAAGTTGATTTGCAATGCGCGCGCCGCGCGTCATGCAATCATATATTAGTGGTTACGCACGTTAAGGATACTGCTATGAAATTGAAGATAAAGGACGTGAAGATTCAAGAAATTTTGGTGAACTGGATGATCTCACTCGCAACAGTTGTCGGAGAGTCTCCAGCCTCTTCGGGAGACCAAGGCTTAGCACTAGGGGCGAACGCTGTGGGGTATGCGCACCAGTGGCGCGCGCTCCAATAAATCTGGATGATTTACGGGCGTTCTTTTGCAGCCTCTTCAATACCTTGCCAATACCGTAGTCTGACACATGAACGGAGGGCAGACTCATAATCTTCTCCCGCGAAATATCTCTCAAGCGCCTCGGCTTCAGTTCGGATACGTTCTGGGGTGGGACATCCCGAAAAGGTGAAGTCAATCGATTGCAAGAAACAGTAGAAGTACCTTTATTTCTTTTCACTACAGATTCCACTTCTTCCTCCGTCTGAGCATCCTCCAGCTCTTCCCTGGCCTCCATGACCGCTACGATGAGGTCTATATCGTGTTTTGCACTGTCCAACGCGTCTAGGCTGCCATCGAGCTTGGCCGTCTCACCGATCTCAAAACCTCTTATGGCAAGGAGGTACTCTGCCCGCTTAAGAGGAGAGAGGAGGGTCTGGTATGCCCTGTTTATCTCTGCTGAGTTGGCAGTTGCCTTGTCTTGCGCATTCTACGAACGGCATCGTGAGAAATATGAAATATGCGAATGGGCAGCAACGTAACACATGCTTCTGGTCTAGTCCGAGCATCTGGATGAGCATTGCGCTGCGCTTGGAGAAAGTTTGTCTTCAACAGCCTTAAATCCACAACAAACGGGTTGGAGTTCTCGGGCATATTCAGCAATGTGTGATAAGGTGTCCGTGTCAACGATGAGGTCCATCGTCTCCCGATGAGTGATTTGGGATAAGTCGTTAGACGCCTCAACAACATCGTGTCGAACAAGGGCGTGGCTTGTCAAGAAAAAGCGCCAAATTCGAGGTTACAGTAATGAGGCTTTTGCAAAGAATTCATTCGCCATGCTTATGTAATCACTCCACCAAACTCCAGCTCGACCTGACATCAGCGCTTAGCTTGAAGTTGTCTCAGGCCCAATTGGGCACTCGTTTTCGACGAGGTACAGCCTCTTGATGCTAGTTCTGGCCCATGTCGGAAGTGCAAAGCCCAGTTCCACCCCCTCCTGTCCTAAAACCGACGAGCTCTGAGGAGACTGGCATCATTACTCATCTTCGCAACGTTTCTGGGTCCAAGAGGTTCCCTTTGAGAGTGTTTAAAAGGCTAAGACCATCCCCCAACGTCAATTCGAAGGCAAAAGAACGAGTGAATCGAAAGAGCCCTGCTGAGGATCCGGAGGTGGAGGATGAGTATCGTCTTAGGGATCGCATCGCTGCCCGAATTCAACGGCTTAGACACGGAAGCGTTGATTCCCAGTATGAGGATGACCTGGGAAGCGAGGCTCTTGTGAAATTCATAGATGCGCGACAGCGTCCCAACGATGATGTTTATGACAAGGATACTTATAAGTGGGCGATATTGTATGAAAATCAGCGAGGGTGAGTGCCAAGATGTATTGATGACTGCGTCTTTTGGATTATCTTTGGGGTAGAGCCACATTTTTTGGATCGACGCGATATTCTGCATCATCTCTCCTCCCTGGCGATCCACCTCCATTTACATTGGCTCTTAAACCAGGCGTCAAAGACCGTAGGCTTATGTTCACCCCCCACACCTTGAAGGATTTCCAACTTCCTGACCCGACATGGATGTGGGTATCGAGATGCTGGCTTGTCCAGATGGGGGGAAATGGAGGCTCGCACGACGGTTTTCAGTATAACTGGTGTTTCCGACAAAAAGGGTCAGTTTGAGTACATTTTGGAGATTAACTATTGCATTTATACGTGTATAGGTGGAGACCCTATCCGGGGAAATTCAATTCAGGAGGATGGGTTCGGCGGCGCCGATGGATCAGGCTGATGATGCGACCAGCGGATCCCGAATTCATCCCGATTTCTACAAACAAATTTTTGTCGAATGCAAGACCCGTTTCATCCTGGACGGGTGATGTGGGGAAGGACATTGTCCATTGTCGCCGTATTCTTCGGCAACTTGGTACCGATGGCCGGAAAATTGCAACGTGGCGTCGGTGGCTGAAAGTGGATGAACGCCAATCAAAAGCATTCGGGAAAACTAAGCGCAAAGCGTCTGAAGAAGACGATGAAGTATACCCAACTGTTGCATTCCCCAGCGGAAGCAGCGGCTATGAGGACCCTGAAGACGATGTCCCTCAGGAATGGGAATGGGCTGTCGCCGTCATTCGTTGCTTTGTGAGTTCACCCAACCAAGGATGAGGGACGAAGCTGACAAAATTGCAGACCAAAGACATTCTTTTTACTTTCATATATCCAGAATCGCGCGCGCGCTTCATCCGAATGCTTCAAGGCCTTGATTTGGACTCAAGGGAGCTGCAGCACTATCTGGAGATTGACTTCTGGGTCCTTGCGCACCTCCAACTCTAAGGTTCACGAGGCATCTACTTTATTTCCACTGCTCACATGGACCTTAATACCTCACTGATCGATATTTGTCTGCATTCGTGTATATAATATACGTTCAACGCAAATTTTACTTTCAGCTTTGCCCATAACGTAAGCATTTTGGTTTCACAAGTGGAACCCCAGGATTTAAAGGCTAAATCCGCATTGTTGAGGCCTCTTGACCTTAAACTTCAACTCTCTTCCTCTAGACTCCTCGACAGACATCTAGGACGCACACGAACACGCTCTGTAGCACTGACATGTATTTCTACGCGTCTCTTTCCTTCATCTCACTCGTTGCCTCTGTAAATAGCGCGTATACTCCCGTCCGTCGCGCCGATCTCGTTCACGCGCGTGGCGATCTCGTCTATCTCCATCGTCTTCACAATCGCGGCCATCCTAATCCCTCTCGTCACGCTCAGAATGGTACTAAGCTCGATTCGCACCACGCCACAACTCATGCTCGTCCTGCTACTGCTGTGAAACATAACGCGACATCTGCTGGTGCCGACGTCGCCCAACTCCATCGTTTCCACAATCGTGCTCACGCCCCTCCCTCTGGTCACGTTCAGAATGTTACGAAGCTTGATACGCACGATGCCACAATTACCGCTCGTCCTGCTGGTGTGAAACATAACGCGACGTCTGCACATGTTCCTCCTCCTTTGCCTACCCACGTGCAAAATGCTCATAGTAAGCCTACTTTGAGCAAACGACACGCTCTGCTGCAAGGATTTGGCTTGGGAATGGGTCTCATGAGGAAGTCGATTACTAGGGACGGTCCTGACTTAGACGCCATTATCGCAACTTTGACCCTTCAGCGCAATGATATTATGAGGAATGGGGACGCTATGAGTAAGTAACGATCAGTTACCTTCTATCATCCATCTCGTAGCTAATTGGCGTTTACACGATGAGATACTTACGCAGAACAATCGCGCTCCCCTGGGTTCATTGTATGAGTCCCTTTCGAAGATCATTGTAGTTACCAACCCCCTTGGTTTGTTTAGGCGACCAAAGTATTTCAGACTGGAACCGCTGGGTGTCTAGGCGACTTGCAAGCCACGGTCACTTTATTCACTGGCACTTTCAAATCCCTCGGCAGTAAGAAAGGTCTTGCGAATTATGATCGTGGTAACGTCTTGGAGACAATCCTCAAGGATGGTATGCGTGATACGTAGAAGGTTATCAAATTATGCACTCATCAGTTACATCCCAGTCGTCAACGCGCTTAAAAAGACTCTCGAGTCGATTGACACCTTGATTTACAAGATCCCTGCCCTTGGTCCCATATTAGGCCCTAGTACGTCCATATTCCGAATTATCTTCACCGTGTCCCCTCACCCGTGCACTTCAGTTGTTTATGAGCTAAAATGTCTCATCGATGACCTCTTGAATGCAATCGAGAATCTCGCTGACCTTGCCATTAATTTGCGCAGCACTGCCAATCTTCTCGACCCTCTGGCGACAGACTACGCGAGCACATGCTGTTCCATTCTTTCTCTGAGTGCAAATTGCATTCTATCATCGCTCTTTCCCTGAGGACCATGATGAACTTTATCATTCGTGCATTCCGAGCAGAAACCCACCTGTACCACTTACCCTTACATGCCACAAAAGTACATTCTAGACTTACGGACTTCTACTTTTTCTTACTGTACGGTACAGAGTACCAATGATTCCTAATGCATTTGTTGTCCGTTGTGTGCATCGGTGTTGCGAGACGGGCTCAATTGAGTCCAGGATCGGAGACATTGCTTTCAATCACAGCTCTTGCTCAACCATGACTGTCAGCGATTCTAACGGAACGGTTACGCTCGAACTGCCCAATGGTGCATCAGCTGAGATAAAGCACTTTGGCGCCACTGTGATTTCTTGGAAGTCGGCGGAAACGTCTGCATCGAAAGATGAGATCAAAGAGCGTTTCTTCTTGTCAAGCAAATCGGCGTTGGACGGTAGCAAGCCAGTTAGTTCTGTTTGGATCCTTTTGGCCAGGCACTAGATTTCATGCCTAGATTCGTGGGGGCATTCCAATTGTTTTCCCTTTCTTTGGTGGAGCAACTAGAGAGGAGCATAAGCCATTCTCATCCCATGGTTTTGCACGATCGGAGAAATGGGAGTATGCAGGCGTTGTGTCTGAATCGGAGGAGAATGTATCGGTCAGATTCGGTGCGTGGGGGGATGGGAACTATTTCGCGCGCCCCTGAAAGCGCTCTCCAGGGTGCTTTTTATATACTTCTCCCTTTTTCCTTTCTTAGTGCTTGAACCGAGTGCTGGTGTTGCGGCCAAGTACGATCAGCCGTTCCTGTTGGAATACATTGTGACGTTGTCGCAATATCAACTCGCCACTGAACTACACGTTACGAATCCAGCTACGGCATCTTCACCTCTTGTTCATCAAGCCCTTCTTCACAATTATATTGCTGCCTCCCCCACGTCTACCATTACAATATCACCGCTCACTAACCTAACGTATGTCGATAAGGCGAACGGTGGAGTGGAACAAGTTGAGAGTAGGAGATTGGTGGATGTCAAGTCACATACGGACTCGGTGTATAAGAGTGCGCCTGGTACGTATGAGGTCAGATGGGAAGGGGAAGGTGGGGGAGGGTTGGACATCAAAACGAGTGGATTCCCGGATGTTGTTGTTTGGAACCCTCACGCAGAGGTGGGATCGAAGATTGGGGATTTAGAAGAAGGAGGATGGTAAGAAATCTGCTCCCCCTCCCCTTGAGCGAATGTGATATTGACGATTTCCCTCCAATCCCCCTCTTTTCTTCTCGGTTCGACATACTAGGGAGAAGTACGTTTGTGTTGAGCCTGGTTTTGTCTCATCGTGGAACACGCTTCAACCTGGAGAGAAGTGGGTGGGTTCACAGACACTCATTCCATTGTGACTACATGGACCCGAAAGCAAGCTCTAGGAGGAAGTATTCATAGATAGCTCATTCACTTGAGGAAGCTATGGTGCACATGTCCGATACGGCCTTGCAATGGAGTTCATGCCATCGGCGAACATCCCGCAATCCTACTGCTGATTTTTCGTGAATCAAAGTAGAATTGACATGAGCGGGCTGACAACCACGTAGTAGACCCTTAGCGGGTCCAATGGGTGCCCCACCGAGTTAGGAATTGAGGTCGATGACATTCACAATGGGGTGGTCGCACACATCAAAAATATAATCAAACCAAGGCACCGTCACGATTTGAACCTGAACCTGCAATCACATTAGGGATCTTGTTTTGTATCGCATCCGGTCGTGTTCCATAACGGCCAAAAGACCCGAGTGAACAGCTCGAAGATTGAGATGATTGCAATCCAAACTAATGAATTGATTGATCCCACTTCACCTGCTACTGTGATGCGGCGTTGAATACAACAGGTGGGTTCACTTGGTGTCACAGCACGCTCTGTGACCTTTATGACGAATGGATGACGATGATTTTCGATTGCATGGTTATAGGCATGGCCATCGTCGAAACGTTTGGGATACGCTAAACGGACGATATTGCTCATGTGTACCACAAGAAGAAGTCCGGATCGAAAAGAAAGCGAAATCCTTGCAGAAATATTCGGGGGAGATTGCATAGAATCGGAGAGTCGCCAATCTGCTCACATAAAGCAACTTTCTACTAAAATGTTCGTATTGCCCCCCAAACCTCCATGGGAAGCGAATTTCATCCTCGTCCCTTCTTTCGGGCCCGTTGCAAATGAACCAGACGGTTGTTTGGACAGCGTTCTTTGCCTATATAGTATATTGTGTACAAGGTGCTATGGATTGCCATTTACTTAGAACGACAACCGTGGTCAATTCCTGGGCGGAGTACCTCCCAGAAAGAAGATACAAGGAGCTGCAGTGATAGCTGATACCGTGGAAGGTGCTTTCCCATCCTTCTGCACCTTGACATGTGACTGACACAGAGATAATTAACATGGCTGGTTACGTCACCGCCAGAGTCCTAACGGATTACTTCGAGAAGACCGTCATAATCGAGCCTGACGCTGCCGTCACTCTCGGGGGAAGGGTGCCCACAACGCGCCCTCGTTCTCTGTGGGAACGATGATTCTGCGCAAATTGTTCCCGGCTTTCCAGAAGGAGGCTTCCAAGAGCGATGTTTACATTTCCCCAAGGTACACGAGGCGGTGGGTGGGATGCTCATACTTTGGTGACCTGAAGGTGAATATGCCGGACTATGTCACTGGCTCGCGATTCTCGTAAGCAGGAAGCATGGATCCTCGTGTTTTTCTTTCAGCCGACCCTGATCAGTGTCTTTTTTCTAGTATCGATCGAGTCTTGTGGCGACAAGCTTCAAGTTATTCAGGGGATCGTAAACGGCGTCGAAGCCTTGTCCGATGGGACTGCAATCCGCTCAGTCTCCAAGAGTACAACGACGATCCCATGTGTACTGTTCGTAGATTGTGCTGGTTCTTCTTCCATTGGCAAAAAGTTATTGCCTACGGCCTCCGACAAATGGGGACCCAATAATCGCACATCTCGTACAACCCAAAAGTTAGCTATTATGGCACGTCTGTTAAATTGTCACATGAATCGCAAGAGAAAGTGTCAAGATTATTGCCCAAACATCATCAGCAGTTTGGACGATGGGATGACTGTACTATCTTTGGAGCCTTTGCTTCAACGGCTGAGACCGGAAGAGACTGTTTCGGGTACCAGGGAATCAATGGGGATCACCGTGCGTATCGAGCGGTGGCATACAAATTTCCTTCTGTATAGTATTATCTCCTTTCAGTGCTCCTTCAATATTCTTGATCAGGGATCCCGACACCTGTCCTGCGACCGTGGCCCAGTTTGCCGACCTATGTCGTCAATCGGTTGGCAAAGTCATTCCAGAAAAGTACCGCTGCTGGGATGAGTAGTTCTTTGAGGTACCGCGGATTGCTGGAGAGAGCACGGACTTGCTTGCTTGATGAACCCGCTAAATAGAACAGTTATACTTTGGGGAAATTGAACTTGGGTTAGACGAATCTGATCGTGTAGCTCTGTGAACAGACGAGTTGCCATTGGATCGATTATGCGTTTAAACCAGTTCTAAACAATCCGTTGGCGATTCTATAATATATCATCATTTTTCTCTCTCTCTCGTCATCAATCTGACAGCATTTCCTGCATGATAGGCGTGAACCCAATGTTTGGCCATGGCGTCAGCATGGTTCTCTTTAATGCCACCGTTCCTAATTCTACGCTGTACAAAGCGCTCAAATCGGCAGCAGAGCATGGCGAGTTGCCGCAAGGATTCTCTCGTTCTTACTTCAAGCGCGCTTTCTCCATTGACAAGGGCATTTTCGATGCGAACCGTATGCTGGATTATGAGTACGACAACACTGTTCCTCAACCAGATGAAACGCTGGCATTTGGAACGGTGTTTAGAAAGTATTGGAGACTTTTGCCGCCATGTAAGCGTTTTTCTTTCCAGCTAATTTGGACAATGCTTATTCATCTACGAAGGATGGGAAACCGTTCGAGGTGCTTGAAGGCATTTTGAGCAGGTACAGGCCCTCTGTCAACTTGATGAGCCTTTCCTTTATTTCCAAGTCATCGTTCTGGATGTGGTGGTTGCCACCAGGGTCAGCATAGAACTAGATAAAGGGGATGGGGCTTTGCGTGCTGTTGGATTTTCGGCTCGGGTTGAGAAGACTGGTGGATCTGACGTCGGGTTTTAGTTCGGAACTGCTAACGGAATATGGGCCGTTCCGCTTGTAGTGTCACAGTTGTAACGACGCTTGATTCCTGTCTTGATTCATGTTTCCCCACACTATTATATGCGATCAAGGTGCCAAGTGGCCTCAGGTATAGGGAGTCTGGGTGTGGGATAACAGCAATATAGCTCAAGCCAACTGATGACAAGGATGGGCGTAGGCCAAGGAGGAATCAAGCGAAGCCGAAGTATCCCGTGTTTACATGGTGCGGACTTTCGAATCCAACGGATAGCACAGTTCTTTTTGCCGCTTGCCAGGATATGACTTGGATCTTCGTCAGGGGTTGGCAGGACCACAACCAGAAGGAGCAGATATTTAAGACCAGAATGGTTGAGAATGGGTATATGAGCACTCACATTACTCACATCATTGCTACCGTGATCGAAGCTAGAAAACCAACAGCAACAAAGGCCATCGTCAATGTTGGCAGGCCTCGCGCGAGTCGCCTTACTCAGCACAAATAAATAGCCCGTTGAGGATGTTATGGTCTAGATCGGGGTTGGGTCTTCAGGGTACCAATCTTCGAAGAGATGGATGTCCAACTCTGAGACCATCAAATATGGTTTAGTGGTTCAAGACTAGAATGTGACCGGAACGACTTTCAGTGACCTAAAATTGTACCCGCTTTCGATCTCGATAGCGTCAGAGTGACGTAAACACACAAAGTTCCGGGCATGGCCAACCACTCGGGTGAGGGGAAAATGTAGAGGAAGTGAGATGTGTGAGCCCCGCATTTTCAAAAGATCTGCCAACTTGAATTTGGGAATAATCCTTATTTGGTTAAACAGGCCCATTAGCGATGAAGGCAACGTTCAGTGACTACCCGTTGATTGATTAAAAGAAATTATGGCTGTGACATGCATCTGGTGTTAGAGCACCTGGCGTGGGTGCATATATAGGGCACATGAAACAATGGCAGCGACGGAGACCAACACATCGCGCACACACTCCGGTTCCTTAGCTCCTTGGGCCCCCGGTGACGGGGGGTGACCCGGATAAAGCAACGTCACCTACCTTCCAGGTCTGATTGAAGCTATGCCATCTGTTTAGTTGTCACGAAGCAGTCCGTTGAGAACGGACTTGGTCATCTGGCTGACTCACGGAGGCGGGTATAACCGCTCGACCGCGGCCCTGTCTATGTTCAAAGGGCAGACCTATGGAATAAAAGCCATGGAACGATTCGGCAGTACTTAGATCACTGGGAAGGTCCATGGTTCCACCTCAGCAATTGCGCAGAGGCTTGCTCAGAGGCTTGCTCAGCTTGCTGGTTTTGGTTTTGGTTTTGTGTGAGTGTGGGAACAGCTAAGTAAGCCCCACATTACATAATTCTTCATGGGTTGAGATGGCAAGGCTTCTTGATTGTTTTTGTCCACAAGAGGATCTTTCAAGCGCGCTGCTTGAAAAATTTTCCATGCCGGACTTTCAACCTGCTTGCTTCTCACCGATTATATATAAGCTGCCTTCCACTGGGACATAGGCACTCGAATCATCTCCCCAGGGCCTCTTTGGAAGCGTATTTCTTCATCTAAACTCAGATCGAATGGGCTGGGTGATCCTTTGGGCAGCACTCTCTGCCTATGTTGCGCACAAATTACTATGGATGGTTCTTCGACGCCATTTGCTTCACAAGACTACTGTCGTCGATGACCTCGAATTTTTGGGTAGAGCGCCTCCCCGAGAGAAAGTCCAAGGGGTCGCAGTGATAGCTGGTGGAAGGTGCTTTTCCGTCCCCCCCTCTTTTACTTTGCTCTGTGATTGATACGGGTGTGCTCAGCTTAGCCGGCTACGTCACCGCAAGAGTCCTAAAGGACCACTTCGAGAAGATTGTCATAATCGAGCCTGACCCTGCCATCACTCTCGAGGGAAGGGTGCCACAACGCGCCCATTTTCACGTCATTCGCTCCGGGGGAACGGCAATTCTGCGCAAATTGTTTCCAACTTTCCAGGAGGAGGCTTCTAAGAGTGACGTTTACATTTCTCCAAGGTTCATGAGACAGTGGGTGGGACTCTCGTACTTTGGAGATCTGGGGTTGAAGATTGGGGACACTGTTACCGGCTCGCGGTCTTCGTAAGCATGGATCTCACTGGTATGCTTTCCAGTCGACTCTAATTCATGTCCTTTTCTAGTGTTGAGACTCTCGTTCGACGTCTATCAATCGAGTCTTGTGGGGACAAGCTTCAACTTATCCAGGGAACCGTAACCGGTGTCGAAGCCTCGTCCGACGGGACTGCAATCCGCTCAGTCTCTTTCCGTCCAGCCACCCAGAGTCCAACAACGGGTCTAACAATGGTCCCGTGCGCACTGTTCGTAGACTGTTCCGGTTCTTCTTCTATTGGTAGCAAGTTGTTGTCCACGGCCTCCAATAAATGGGGACCCTATGAACGCACATCATACAACCCGAAAATCAGATACCACAGCACGTCTATTAAATTATCGCCTAAAACGCAGGATGAAGTGGCGAGATCACTACCTAAACACCATCGGGACTTTGGACGATGGGGTGCTTGTACTATCATTGGACTCGTTATTCCAACAGCTGAAACGGGAAAAGATCTTTTCGGGTACCAGAGAATCGACGGGGATCACTGTACGTACAAACCAGTCAAATTCTCACAAATTCCCTGTTATATCTTTATTCCTTTTCAGTGCTCCTCATATATTCTGGATGGGATCTTGACACTTGTCCTGCAACCATAGCCCAGTTTGCTGATCTAGGTCGTCAATCGACCGCCAAAGCTATTCCAGAAAAGCACCGCAGTCGAGACGAATGGTTCTTTGAGATCCTGCGAGTTGTTGGAGAAGGCACAGGCTTGCTTGACGAACCTCTTAAATGGAACAGCTACACATTGGTATGACTTAGGGGGCGGATCAAAAGGGGCTGGATTAGCCTGACCATGTATCTGTTGCACAGACGAGTTGCCAGTGGATCGATTACGCGTTTAAACCAGTTCCAAACAACTTCATTGCCGTTGGCGATTCCTTAATGCGTACGTAAATATCGACATTCTCTTTCTTGACTCGCTGTCAATCACTCTGACACACGCTTCCTCCGTGATAGGCGTGAATCCGGTCTTTGGTCAGGGTGTTAGCAGACTTCTCTTCAATGCAGCCGTTCTTAATTCTACGCTACACCAAGCGCTCCAACCGGCCGCGGGACACGCCGAATTGCCGCGAGGCTTTTCTCACTCTTACTTCAAGCGCGCTTTCCCTATAGACAAAGGCATGTTCGATGTTAATCGCATGCTGGATTATGGGTACGACAGCACCGTCCCTCAGCCAGGTGAAACACTGGCATTTGGAACGACGTTTAGAAAGTATTGGGCATTTGTGCTGAACCTTGTGTCCCATGTAAGCATTTTTGTTTCTTTCCAACTCGCTCCGTCAATTATTGTTTTTTATGTTCATCATTGTAGGACGGCGAATCGTTCAAGGTTTTTGAAGATGTTTCGTGCGGGCTCAGGCCCGCGATAGATTTGATCCGTCCTTCCTTCATTTTCAAGTCGTTGTTCTGGATGTGGTGGTCGCCGCCAGCCTCAGCGTAGAATTAGCTGACGGAGGGTGGGAGAAATTACATGTTGTGCTTATCAGTGCAGTTCTGCGAGAAAGTTCGTAATGTCGTCATCCCGACTCGTTTATATGCGGCCCATGAAGGTGGGAGGGCGGCAGCGTCTTGCCACGATAGCTGCCTGTTATTCAGTACACGCCCTGACTGGATTCTTACTTTTTTCGCTGCATCCATAAACGTATGCTTGCATCACAGCTGCACAGCAACGGCAATCATGACAAATAGTGACATGCATGCATTTTAGAGTGTTGACCAACACAACATCGGGTAAGGTATTATTATATGAATCCTGTTAGAGAAATGCAATCGCCTTGTGAACAAATCAGAAAACTGGGGTAATCAGGCGTCTTTCAAGTCCACAAACCCCAAAATCTTGATCCGTTCGACCTACAGTGCGCTGCGTCTAAAGACATGGATGTGCCATGCATGCCTGAGTGTTTCACGTCCGGATGGTTTCCATCCCTAGCCTAAAAGGGTGCCTTGGTCGTGAGCACCATCCGAAGGGGAGAATCTATTGGAACACCAACGTTGTTTACATCGCGAAGTTGTGTTGCGGTTACTGTACTCAGCTAACCTAAATGCCCCACCCAGCACGTTCCTCAAAAAGCACGTGAATGACCACGTGCTTCTTTTTTTTCGGAGGAGAAATTGTTTATTTTTTGTATGGAACTGATTCCGGTTTCTCACAATTTGTATTGTGTATAATAATACATATTTATGATTTCAACGGCAGCCGATATCGGTGGTTCTTTACCCTAATGGTTAAAACCGGCTTCTGGGTGGTCATCCTGCTTTGGGGATTCCTGTTCAATTCAGAGTTGTTGTCCTTTTTTCGTTGTTGTTGTTGTTGTTTTTTTTTCTTTGACACCTACCATGGGTTGAGTATTTAGGGGTTGAGTGTTGGGAGGTTGGGTTGGGTGGTTGTGTGTTTGTGTCTATGTGTCTATTCAATTTTGAATCGGTTGGGTGTTGGGTGGGTTGGGGGGTCGGGAAAGGTCGCAGGTAGTTGTGTGTTTATGTGTCTATACAATTTTGAATTGGTTGGGTTGGGTTGGGTTGGGTTGGGAAGGGTTGGGTCATAGTTATGAAGTACGATAGCTGGACACATTGCTTAGACTTACATCTCACATATTTACAATTTAAATACTCTGGTTGCTTTTGGAATCGTATTTTACATTTTCTTTTTGCATGCATGTGAGCGTTGTGGAACGTGCTGGGTGGGGCATTTAGGTTTAGTTACTGTACTCACACGACCAACTACCAGTTGCATCTGGAGCGTGACAAAAAGTACTGAACCGGCAGCTCATGTTGATGCGTGACACCCAACCGGCAAACTTACCATAAGGAATGCAATACTATCGGATATTGCCATAATAAGTAACTAAATGCAAAAGAATTTGAAAATGTGCTTAGAGTGCCTTTCTGAAAATTTTCCTGCACCCGGATATCACATATGGATGGTTTTGCGCTTGCACAACAAATTTGTTCTTGCACAAATGAACCTATTTCATACAGAAATAATATCCCAAGCCACCTTGCTAAGCCTACCTAAGAGGTAGTTTTTACCCATAGTAGGCCTATTGGGCCTGGATCCTGGCTGATTAGGCTGCAATGGCACCTTACAAGTTGCATCAACCTGTGCTGAGGATATCCCCCTCAAGTGTGACTTTGGCCGCAGAAAGCGGGCCAGACAGGTGTGCCATTTGGACAAGAAATGGCCATTTTTTGAATGTATTTACTTCCGAAAAAGGGAAATTTGAATTACAGTTTGCACAGCCACCCTGAAACCAGGTTTACAGCGTGACACAACTAACTCAACCTTTTTCCCAGCGTGATGCATGACAAAACCTTGATTTGAGCCGGACCTCAAGGCCAGCATGATGCGTGACAGGTTGTTGGTCATGTTAGTACAGTATTCTGGGGTGCTTTGAGGCGTTGCAAGCGGGAACGGACTCCTAGAGTGGAGAGAGGGGGAAGAAGGAAGGGAACGCTCCAGCTAACTGTTGGAGAATATAATATGTTCCCAATAGTATAGAGTTTAACAGCCTATACTGGCATGGCTCATGGGTGAGTAGTGTATGGATGCACGCTGTAGGCGGGATAATCGCCCACGCGCAGCACCGGCTCGGATACCTGATTCTACGATTAAAACCCCTTTCATTCATGCGACAGCTCAATACGAATTTGGTACCTAAAAATAGGGCTAATTCCTACGATCCCAACGATACCAAAAACGTCCCAATCGGTGGAGATTTGACGGAGTTCTGTGTTGGAGAAGTTAGGCACAGCAGGTCACGGGCATGTGCGGGCGTGGGAATCTCAAGCGGCAACCCAGAATTCCAGCCTCACTCGTTCCCACAGCGTCCAATAAATTGGTAAAAATGCTCATTGGCTGCATAATAGCTCTATTCAGTCACACTTCCAATTTCGGATCTTAATTCCGTAAATCCGTTGAGAAATCGCTTATTTTCTTATATTTTCATATTTTGCCATCATTTCAGATATTGATTGATTTTCTTTTATTGTTACTATTACCCTTTTTATTATTTCGCCTAATAAGGTATGCAGGTGCCATATGGCACCAATATTTCCCATCTATTAGTTCTAAAAATAATTGTTCCTTATATCCTGTACATACCGGATTCTGGAAAAGAAGTTCTCCCCTCCCCCAATTTTCTCTAAGGTGCTAGGATGTGCTAGAGTGGGTGTGAGTGTGTGGAATCCAACAGTAGGAATAAGGGCAACTGTCTAGCCCACAACGAGTGGGTAGTAGATTAGTTGAGCCTGGACCTTGCGGAATCCCGGAGAACCCACACGGAGTTTAAGGATCGAGAGCGTAGCGAAGTCTAGTCAAGAAGTAGGAGTTTTGGAGAGTTTGGCCCCATGAGCTTAGTCGGCATAGAGAGCCGCTAGCCCTCTTGCAACGCTAGAGGTCCTGGGTTCAATACCAGGCTTGTCCATGATTTTATGTCCTTGCCACATGACCTGGAGTTGAAGCCATTTGAATTGGAGCTCTGGATAAGTCCAGTAGTCGCACCGGATACAATTTTGACACTAACTCCCTGACAACTCAGGGAAGAAGAAGAGGGGGCGAAAAGGGGGTCACTGTACTAGGTTTGATGTTTTTAGCAAACAAAACCAACCACTCAACTAAACAGGTGGAATTGCCCTAAGGACCAAATTTTTCCTTAGCTTTAGTTACTAAGCCTCTCGTTGCACCCCAGAGTGCACTGACTCCAAGCTAGATGTGAAGAGGGGGGGAATTTGCTTCTATTTCCTAACTAGAGTACATACTTATATCGAATTGCTACATTGTGCCAAGGAATAGTTCCGAAATAAATGGCTTTGGCTAGAGTAAGCCTCCACCACCAGTGGTGGTAAGGTTTGGGTGCTGTTGGCTTGAGTAAAATCCCAAAGAACAAAAGAAAAATCAAGTGAAAATCAAAAACTTTGTCATATCACCCTCATCACTGTGTCAAAACTTTGTCCCTTCATACCATCCGACTCTCCTCAACTGTAGCTTTCGAACAATACCAATTTTGTGGAATTTGGTGTAGAATTGGCTAAGAATGGGAATTCAGTGGTGTGGGATCCGTGATACAATTGTCCGTGCACAGGGAAACTTGGACTAAATTATCTCCTAAAATTCCGAAAGTTCCTTGATAATATCCCTTGCATTGCTCGCATATTCCTAGCTTGAATTCCTCTGGAATTTCGCTGAGGCTGACCCAAACGTGACCAATGATGTTTCTTGTGTAGTCCTGTGACACATGTCAAGTCCTGGAGTCAGATAATTCCCTTGGTTTCTCCACAACTGTCAGAACATGGCAAGGAGGGAGCAAGCGTGTCTGGACCTTTCCCCAGAAGGGAGGCCAGAGGTAGAGGATGGGCGGAAGGACCATGGCCTCAGCGACTTGGAGGGGAGCACTGTGCCTATGTTCGGTAACGCTTAGTGTTGGGTCCTTAACTTCAGAACAAGGGGGCATGAACTCTGGGGGAATAGTCATTGTCATCGTCGATTTTGCACTGAGGTGCCATCAACTACAGTACATGACTTTGTCAGGGCAACCACACCTGACCATACAACCCCAGAACCACCTTCCCTGACCTCCCCCCACTTCCCTCATCCTCCCATCTTCACACACCTTTCACAACTACAGCCTGCATGCGAACCCATGGGAAAAATCACGTGGGTCAAGGCAAGCAACTCGCCTTAACCCATGTGACACCTTTTCCACATCGCAGGAACATGCTCAGCTCCTACCCTTAGTCACGTTACGAACTGTATAGTACATTTCCCTTTTATAGTAGCCAAGCGGGGAATAGGGAAACTTACCCTTCTTCTCAACTCAATCCCCACTTAGTGAGTTTGAGGAGCTTGGGGTAGGATCCAGCACTTGGCTGCCTGGGACACTGCAAGTGTCCAGTTCTGAGGTAGGGCCGCCCCTGGACAGAGGCCGGGCCCTGACAGACTTATATACATAATACAAGACAGATAGGAACAAAGGGAAAACCCAAGATGGACTTACCCACTTGCCAGGTTGGCAAACTTGTGAGAGAATCGCCTTATTGAGCACTGTGGAGTGGGTAGATGAAGGGTGGAATTAGCGACAGCTATTGGATAGTGGGAAAACCTTTGCGGGGTTGGCAGAGGTCCTAGGAGGTCTGTAGTAATATTGGGTAGGTGTCAGGGGATGGACCCCGGGTCCCTATGACCCCTCTCTACAGTCCACAGCCTGACCTGTAAACACAGCCCATCTCAGGGCATGACTACTGTGGGTAAGGAAGTGAGAAGAAGGTTAACTTCTCACTTTCCCACAGTGGCCCCAATATGGCAAAAACTTCTGGGGATACCCGGAAGTCACATGAAGGATGGGAACTGGGCCCAGAGCATGTGGTGCATGGAGCATGCAGGGTGGAAGTGCACATGCAGGTCCGGGCTAGTCAGGGTGTGTGCCCTGACAGTAGGTAGAAACGTTTAAGATGAGGATAAGGGGT